TAAATTGGATAATTCAATCACCAATCCTTGAGGAATCGACCTCGCACTTACATATGCTATACTACCGAATGGCTTGTGCACTTGCGAGTATCACAAGCTGAGGATACAGCTGAATCCATTTGGTGTAGCTGAATTGATGCAACATAAATTGACAGCTTTAATTATTTATGTTGATGATATGATTGTGACTGGAGATGATAAGGCAGAAATGCAAAATCTTCAGAAGTATTTGGCTTCCGAGTTTGAGATGAAGTCATTAGGTGATTTAAAGTACTTTCTTGGGATTGAAGTTTCCAAATCTAAACATGGTATCTTTCTGTCTCAAAGAAAGTATATTTTGGATTTACTTGCAGAGACTAGAATTTTGGATTGTAAACCAATTGATACCCCTAGTGAACAAAATCATAAGTTGGAGTTGTATCCTGATCAAGTCCCTACAGATAAAGAGCGTTATCAACGACTTGTGAGGAAATTGATTTATTTAGCTCATACATGTCCTAATATTGCATAAATAGTTAGTGTAGTGAGTCAATTTATGCATTCTCCTACTGAAGTTTATATGGGTGTTGTGATGCGCATTTTGAGATATCTGAAAGTTACTCCTAGCAAGGGGCTAAAGTTTTGCAAATATGGTCATACAAATGTGGAAGGGTATACGGATTCTGAATGGGTAGATTCAGTCACTGATAGACGTTCTGCATCTGGGTATTTCACATTTGTTGGTGGTAATCTTGTTACTTAGAGGAGTAAAAAGTAAAAAGTGGTGTCTAGGTCTAGTGTCGAGGCCGAGTACCGTGGGATGGCTCAAGGTGTGTGCGAGTTACTATAGTTGAGAAGATTGTTAAGGGATCTTGGGTTTGGACCCCAGAAACCTTTGGATTTGTATTGTGATAATAAAGCTGCAATTGCAATTGCGCATAACCTTGTGCAACATGATTGTATAAAGCACATGGAGGTTGATCAACATTTTTGTTAAAGAGAAGCTGGATACTGAAATTATTTCTTTTTCGTTTATATCGTCCGAGTATCAACTGGCAGATGTTCTTACGAAAGCTGTGTCTACTTCGGTCTTTCTTAACTCGCTTGATAAGTTAGGCATGTGTGACATCATTGCTCCAACTTAAGGGGAAGCGTTAGCGAGATCCTGACTTAATCAGGAGATTTATTTCCTAGTTTATTATGACTATATTTCTTTTCTTTTGTATGGATATTATGTAATTTGGATTTTATCTTGTTTCCTAATTTGACCCTACTAGGGTTACATCCTTGTATTATAAATACCTCATTTTGGAGAATAAAATACAACTTGAAAATATTCTACCCATATTGTTCGACTGTTATTGATTTCATACTTCTTATAAGAGTGATTCCACATGCTGGATAATTAATTCCGATGCAACTGATCATATGACATTTGATCTTGATGATTTTCTGAATACTACCCAACCCAAATGAACTTGTATTGCTAAAGCCAATGGAGTTACTTATCTTGTGACAATGGTTGGCATTGTTGCTCTCTCATTATCTAATACTTCACTTGTTTCATCTCTATCTAATAAATTGATGTATGTTGCTTAGAATACTGAACAATTGAATTGTCGTGTAATAATTTACCCAAGTTTTTGTTTGCTTCAGGATATTTATACTAAGGAGATTCTGGGTTGTGGTACTAAGCGAGAGGGCATTTGTAATACCCCAAAAAAATCCAAGGTCGATTTTCATATTTAAGTGAAAAACAATATTATGGTGAAGAATGATTAAGGGTATTTTATCAAGTGATTTTGGATTGAGACTATTGAATTAATTGTGTTTAATTTCAAGTTGGACAAAAAGGCTTTTACAAAACATTTTGTGAATTTTTTAAAGGACATTTAAGAAATTGAGGTGAGACCATTATGATTCTTAGATAATACGACAAAGTCGACTCAACGAACACCTAGGAAATCGTTTCTAAATTTTGGGCCAAAATGACCAAAATACCCCTATGTGTGAAAGATTACCAAAATAGCATTGTAGACACACACACACACACACACACACACAAATCTGAAACGTGGAGGGCATCAAACCACCCTCCTCCCATTATTCCCCTCTTGCCTCAAGCTTTCAATCTACCATTATGAAAGGATGAGTCACCTAGTCTAAAGTGGTGAGTCACCTAGCCTAAGGTATCTTCCTTAATGAAGCTTTTTTTAGAGCTAAGGGAGGTGAGTTGTTGACGGGAGGGAGAAGATAATGAGAGAGAGAGAGAGAGAGAGAGAGAGAGAGAGAGAGAGAGAGAGAGAGAAAAGACTAAGAAGAAGAAGAAGAAGAGAGGAGAAGACTTGGAAATAAGGAAGATGGAGGTTATTAATATTACATCCATGAGAGAATTAAGAAAGAAATGTGGGAGGTAGAAAAGAAAATGGTTAACTATTGAAGCAATTGGAAGGATGAAAGGTGGGATTCTTATCTAAGTTCATTTTCAATTCTTGAGTTTTTGTATAATTAATTGTTTTAGTAGATTAATAGTTGTATTTGAGTTGGAGAATGATTCATGAACCTTTTAAGGCATAAGAAAATCAAAAAAAGAATTTTGAAATCAAGATTTTCGGATTTTGGGTGTGTTGATAAATTTTTGGGTTTGGGTGTTCAAACTTTAGATCCAAATCTTGTTTTGGGGAAGCTTAGGCCAAGGATATGATGTTGGAGTATGATTTTGAGCCTTAAGGATGGTATTTCAAGTGTGTTGAAAGAGAATTTTGAGAAAATTCTGAAACTTTGTATTTTTTTTTCTTCTGGAAATTTCAGTTCATGGGCCTTACTTTGGCTCTCGTGTTCCTTTGATTTGTGAAGTAATTTTTGAAATGTTTTGATGTTTTGGAAACTAGGAATAGCAAGGGTCAAAACCCTTTTGATTTCACTGATTTTGGTAAGTTTTGGGGGATCAAATATCGGAGTGAAGTTAGGTTTTCAAAACTGCCAAAATAGAGGAAGTTGGAAAAAGAAAATTCAGATTTTTGAGTCTGTCTTTGGGTTCAAATTTCTCACTAACCATAGCTCCGTTTTCACAAATCTTTGTATGTATAAAGATCTAAGGTTACAAGCTTCAATTTGAGTATAGTCTTGCAAAGTTTTACTATTGTTAGTTACGCCAAAAACAAAGTGAAAAACAGAGGGGGGAAAAAAAGGGGGGTTTCACTAAAACACCCAAAATGGGGGCTGAAATTATAAAAAAACCCAACACCCAAAACACTTTATAAACACACCCAAAACCCATCATTACACACACTCAAAACCCATTTATAAACACACCCAAAAAATATACAATTGTTGATTTTGAGGTTGATTTTGGGTGTGTTTCTATGTTTAAACAATGTTAGGGTTTTTTTATAAATACATGTCTAGGATTGGGTTTATTTATAAATTTGTAAAAAAAAAAAGGTCTTTTGAGGAAGACGATGAATAGTACCATGCAGTCGGCATATGTGTGTTTAGCACATGTGTGTGATGTTGGTGTCGTTTGTCATCCTTCCCAACTTAGTTTTTTGTTTTAAGTCTGTTAATATTGGTTTCAAGACCATCCGAGACCTTGTAACTTTTTGACCAAAAATAATGTTAAGCAAAAGCACTAATTATTATTTGTTCTTATTGTTCGATTTAGGCTCGAGTGGAAACAGAAGGATAGGAAGGGTAATTCCGTAATCTAACTAGTTGAACTTAAGGTAGGGTTTCCTGATTTCCCAATAATTGGGCTATGTCACTTTTAATCTTGGTGTTTATATATAATACTATAAATATGAATATTATTATTGCTTTGCTTGATGAATATTATTTGATGTTATGTGAATATTATTATTGATGTTTCTCCATGGATATTAACTTTTATGTTGGGTGAATATTATTATTCAAGCGATGAAGCTTGAAATAGTATTGTTATTATTTGTATTATTATTCCACACAAATAAATGATGTTTGCGCCGCATCACATATGCATCATAAAAACAGTGATATTTGGGGTGTGTGTGTTGTTTGAGTTATATCTAAGGGGTAGGAGAAGACTTTAAATATATCTGAGTAAAAATGCGGAATATATTCAAGTGACGAGAGCAGGGCTTGAATATATTTAGGTGATGGGAGCAGGGACTCTAATGAAAAGTGAAAGTTAAGAAATTCGTAAACAAAAGAAAATGGGTTAAAGGACGGATGGGTAATAGTTCATATTTTAGGATATTCGGAGCCACAGTGGTAAAATGCATAGTATGAGACATGTAGATTTGCTGCTCTAAAGTATGAATTAGTGGGGTGAGAAGGGAGTGAGTTCATGGCATCACCCCATATGCAAATTTATTTATCTAGTCTGATTGCATAATTTATATATCTTGTGTTGTTTGATGCATGACACTTTGATTAACTATAATAGCTGACCTTGAGCGGTTTGATGGTACTCTGGTGAGTATTAGAATGCTTGTACCCTAATAGATTGTGTAGGTTTAAGACGAAGTTTGAGAAAACGGGTTTCAACTAAGCTGCTAGGCCTTTGTTGTTGATTTGTGTAATTAATGTTTGCAAGTAGTAAACCGCTTGATAAAGATCTTAGTGTGTATGTAAGTATGAGTTATTGCGACTCTGATTTTGTGATATTAAGTAAATTTGTATTATTTGTGGCTCTATTTCTCATCATATCATGATTGTAGGATTTTATTCTTATTACTATGGTATGACTCACACCATGATTCGTGAATATTCCTTATTTTCGAATCGGGTTGTGACAATATCCCTCTAATAGTAAACAAAAGCAAATCTGGTTGTTCGTTATATGAAGCATTTTTGCCGGATTTATTATTATATTTCAAGGACTCCGACTTCAAATTTGACACATATAGTTTGGCCAAGAGTCACTATGTGCCCTATCCGTTGAGCACAAGAAAGTGTACTACTCCATTTACATTAATTCACTCTGATGTCTGGGGACCCTCACCTATCACTGCTCCTTCTGGCGTTTGATAGTTTGTCACATTCGTAGATAATTGTACACGAATGACATGGTTTTATTTGATGAAAAATAAAAAGAAGTGTTTTCACAGTTTCAATTTTTCCACAAACGTATGAAAACTCAGTTTAATACTCAAATACATATTCTTAGCTCAGACAATGGTGGAGAATTTGTCAATTATGACTTTCAGACTTACTTTCAACAACATGGAATTATCTATGAGATGACTTGTCCTCATACACCATAACAAAATGGTGTTATTGAACGAAAGAATCGATATCTTTTGGAAATAACCCGAACACTTTTGATTGTTGCTCATGTTCCTAGTCATCACTAGGATGATGTTATTGTCATCATCGTTCACTTGATCACCTGCATGTCGTTTGGTGTCTTGAACTTTCGTACTCCCCTACAAGTGCTCGAGCAGTACGGGCCCATGCTATCTGTTTTGTGCTAACAACCCGAATATTTGGATGTGTGGCTTTTGTTCATCTTCACAAAAATCAACGTAGCAAGCTTAATCCCTACCGCTATTTGTTGTGTTTTTGTGGGATATGTCACTCATCAGAAATGTTATCGATGTTATCACCCTTATACTCGCCGAACCTATGTCACTTTAGATGTGACCTTTCTGGAATTTAAGATGTTCTTCCATGGCCTTGTATCCAATTCTACGTTTTAGGGGGAGATAAAGAATGAAGAGCAGAACTGGAGCAACTTGGAAAAAGAAGAAATTTTCATTTGCATAAAAATTTCTGATCGTTTAA